AATCACCAAATGTGAAAACAATGACTATCGACAGAGAAGAAAGTCAACTGTGGTCGACATGGCAACATTATACTACGACATATACGTGGCTAGCCCGTGAGATTTAGTTATAAACTTTGGGCAGCAGATAAATCAGATGATAGTTTTCTGATATTGAAGCCAATCGGCGGATCTAATAGAAAAAGAAACTTATTCATGGGCTGGAACATGGATTGGTCCCATAAACATGATACAATTGGTCCCAAGCCAACATATTATATGTGATATCTATTCTGGTTTCATTTAGCTTCTCAAAAAACTTTTGAAAAAAAGAATGGCTATTGCAATAAATTTTGAAAAATATCGGTTAGGAAATGCAATAATGCAGGAGACCCTAAATAAAACAATCAGGGTCTATAGTGCACCCTTCTACTTCGATCCTTGATGAAGTGCAATACAACAATCAACAACATCGGCCAGCAAAGAGACATCAGAAGCACTGCAAATGCAGTGCTTCGTAAACAATGTTGACAACGCACCCACAAACATTCGTAAAATGGGCAACCTTCCTATTCATTTTGAATGAATGGAAGCATTCTATGCTAAAAATTAAATTGTATTCTGCCATGATTGGTTCATCATCAGTATTGTCCATTATGAATACGTATATTACGTATTATCCATTATGAATAACCTTGCTTGATTTACTATCGGAAAAAGTGTTGTTTGAAGAAACATTATGTTAATGCCGAGCGGTTCCATATGGAACCAAGCTATATTTTTTCACATACAATGAAAAATAAATATATGAACATATTTTTTGTTTATTACCATCACAAATGATAAAATTCTCACAAGGAACCCCAAAAAAATTCAGTAAATAATTCTCGTCATTAATGGGTTAATAATAGAGTAATTAATGAATATGGTAATATCATATCAACAAAGGAAAAACAAGTAAAAATCACAGAAAATGACATTTATTTTACATCTACATCATCTACAATGAAAGAGGAGGACTTCAGAGTACTGTTAGTAATAGAAAAGTACACTCTGCATGCTTCAAATGTTTGAAATTGAGTTTTATTTCAAGTGTCCCTTTTTACCCCATTTCAAGATTAATTCAGGAGCCTTTTATATTGCATCTAGCGCCATACAAATAACATATGGAATTTTTTGAAGATGCTGTTTGATAGCCCTTGCAAAGAGATATAAAATGAGCCTAAACTTGTTTCTGAAATGTTTCATGGTAAGAAGTTATTAACAAAAGATGCTCAAAACCATCCCTTTTTACCCCGTTTGACGGTACTTACATGTTCAAACGAATGGTGTAAAATTGTGATTTCAAAGGAATAAGTTGTTTCAAAATCTTTGATTAAATTTCAAGACAAAAATTTCCTTAATATTGTTTTGCTTACTACAAATTTTGTTAACATCTGAAGCATTCCAATACAATGATGTCATTCCATTTTAGTGAAATTGCTAAGTTCATATTATTAGTTAAAAATAAATTGAAAACTGAAATGATTCCAAGCAAAATAATTTCAAGTTCCCAGTTAGGTGTAAATTCCAAGTTCCCAGTTAGGTGTAAATTGCAAGTTCCCTAATAATTAAGTATGGTACCATCAAACGGGGTAATAAGGGACGGTTTTGAGCGCTTTTTGTTAATAACTTCTTACCATGAAACATTTCATAAACAAGTTTGAGCTCATTTTATAGCTGTTTGCAAGGGCTATATTTGGCATCTTAAAAAAAATCCATATGCTATTTGTAAGATGCCACACACAAAATAAAACCATACTGAATTACCCCTGGGAATGGGGAAATACGGGACACTTGAAATAAAACTTAATTTTAAAACGTATAAAATATGCAGAGTGTACTCGTTCAATACTAACTGTACTCTGAAGTCCTCCTCTTTCTTTGTAGATGATGTAGATGTAGAATAAATGACATTTTCTGTGACTTTTCATGTGTTTTTTCCTTTATTGATATATTAACATATCCATACATTACCATATTATTGATGTGATATTACCATATCCATGAACATGCTATTGAGCATTTACAATGACCTTGTCCATTGAAAGCTTCATTTCAGCAGCCATATAGCACTTTTCTGTATCTGTAAGCTTACAGGAAGGCTTGTAAATTTCACATCATTTTAATTTGATTAAGTGAATTCACTATAACAAAAAAAAAAAAGATTATAAAAACATACCTAAAACAGAAAGGAATACTATAGTGACAACCATCATATTTTTAGGAGGAATAAATCATAGTTTAGGTTAATTACTTTTCACTATGTTGCCCAGTGAACAATTATATCTATGACATTTTATGCACAATTTTGTGCTGATCAATGATGCATTAGTTTTTCATCTAGTAAAAATTTTTTGCTGAGCAAGGTAAACATAATCAAAAATTTTTTGTTATTAATTGATTTTTTATGAACTGGAGCTTTTGCTAATCAAGGTTCTACTGTAAATGCATTTTTAGAGGTGTCCCTTATTACCCCGTCCTACTACTTAAACGTTCAACTCCCAACCATCTTTCGGTTCCAAACGTCTCTTAAAAGTGCGATTCCGGCTTTTTAACTTTGACTTGCTTAATTTTTGAAGTCATGAAAAATTATCATTTCCTTTAATATTTTTATTCCTAAGTAATATTAAGTGTTATTCATATTGTAAGAATGTTAAGTGCCCAATTCAGCTTTCAACGAAGCAAGACAAATGAAATGCTATTGACAGATTAAATAAATAAAACTTGTTAAGTTCAAACTCAAACATGCATCGTTGCTGATTCCAAGTTCCGTCTTTATAGGGAAAAATAAAGTGAGATCGGCGAACCTTCAATAGTTACTTAAGCATTATTTGCAAAACAGCTCTCTACTGGCAAGCTTAGTTGATCGAGTGTCCCCAAATCTCGTCCACATTTCTTAGCCCTACGAGTGTAATTTGACTTGACTCATTTCTATTCCAAAGAATAACATTGAAGACAGGTTTTTATAAGCCATCAGAACTTGCATATGAGTTTATTCTACATTACACAATGGATATGTTAATGTGAATTTCTATTGCAAGACCGCAATGTTCGTACAGAGGTACTTTTGAACCGCAAATCAACCGCGCGTATATTTTTGATTCTCAAATAATTTCAATAGCACATATGCCCATACACCTCAAAGTCTTCAGCATATGTGTCATCATGGTGTGAAGCAGCTCCCACGAGGTGAATGTGGGCTTCCATATAGGGCATTACTACTAGCATTGTCTGTAGTTTTTTCATAGTTCAAACGTGAGTGAGAGCTTCTTCACTTTAACATCAAATGTGATATAATGTATATAGTGTGGCATTCATTCATTTCAACCAAAATGTTCTAATTGTGTGCAATTATTGCCAACACTTTGGTTGCGTGTCATACTTTAAACATTGTTCGATAATTAATTTGTGGCGAGTGTATATTGTCTTGAATGAATAAATACTGATAGATATAGTAATTAATCGTTGAATTCGTATATCGATGAAAGACGTTCTTTCAATTCTTCTGGTCAGTTCTTGATGCGCTGTTTCCTCAATGTTTATATACCTGGTATACAATCTCTTATTTCAATCTTAATAACAATGAAAGCTCACTTATCAAATGTTCAATGAACCATCATATTCATCATATCAAGTAATCACCAAACAATTAAATACATATGCGCCCCACGTTTTTCGTTTTAGATGTTGTAAAATATTTTAACTGAAATACAAAAGACCAAGAGAATGAAAGCTAACAGAGATCAGTAGCTGCCGAAAAATTATTTTCTACTTATGAGTCCACATGAAAAACGTGGTCTTTAAAAAAATTTTTTATACATTTTATTTTACCCTAGCGGGAAAGTTGATCATGTCATGGACTCACGGTAAGCTCTGTACTAATTAAAATTAGTTGAAGTGAATCAATATATCATTTTCAACTTTGTATCGTACATATTTCAAACGAAGTTCCGTGATATTCCCACCTAATTGCTCAATATTCTCCTTGATTCTCCCTTAATCGCGAATCGTTGCTAATTGTTTCGTCCAGTGAACGGATGTTAACAATGTCACAGATGTGCTACGCCAGTGGTTCAAAACTATAAGCTTGACTCACTAAAGGGACTCATGAACATAACAACTGAGAATTTCAAATTTTGCGCTCATCTCGTAAGCTTCCTTGATCGACAGTAGAGGTAATCAAGACAACTTATGAAAAAACATGCGGTCAGATGATCAGAACACAGGTGTGGTTGTGCGTGGGACGATGCGGTATTCGTAGCCGCACTGGTTACTTTTATTAGATTATGTTTATGAATTAAGAATGAACGGTTTACTGTCATTGCTGCTGATTATTGGATTACGATGATGATTGCAAGCTAGCAGCCGCACGTCCCCTGCGCATCAGGTCTCAGGAAAGAAAAACCTAAATTATCGGTATCAAATATCGATATTAAGATTAGGAGATTTCCTTCCCTTTTCTAGAACCAAATGATTAAACTATCGGTACACTTGTGCCGTTCCAGAAGGAAGATTGATGTCTAATTTTCGATTAGAAGCCATCAATTATTAATAAGTCACAATAAGGGCGCATGATAATTCGTTCAATTTGCAATGAAAGACAGAGTAATTAGACATGTCGCAGCGGTCTAATTATTTACGATGGCATCTAAATCCACATTGAAGCTGAGGTTTACTTATCCATGCAAAGAATTCCGAAACGAAGCAGATTGAAAGGATACAGTAATTATGAAATAATAGAGCAGAGAGCAATGTACCAATGCAGTGAAACGATGTAGTTTCTTTTTTCATGCAATAGTTAAACGTTTCCATTGTTTGCCTATTGCAGTTTTTTTAACTTTCATTCAACATGAAGTAGATAGTACCTGCATCGATTGGAATTTCTTCAGGTGTTAGGATCAAGTGTTCATTTAGGTAAGAAACGCAACCAAAATTAAAGTTTCATGTTAATGAAATTGAGAAAGGGTTCAAAATAAAGATGAAACAGTCGTGTTTATTAATGAAGATTTTACAACACTGAAGTGACGATGACTCGGCTAACAGCAGCATAAAATTTAAGTGAATATTTTCAAATGCAGTTAGAGCAAATAGATAATATTTTATATACTACACATGAACTTCCTATTATAATTTACAGGGCAACCGATGGAATAACTTACTTTTATGCTGGATTTTTAAGGCATTGCATACTCTCATACGACTGATTATTAGTAAAAATCAAAGTACAAAATAACGCGAATTGAAAATCTTTCATTCCTCCTTTAATTCATTGCAATCAGTGATGATAACTTTCTGCGAGGGCTTCCCAGATCGAGATCCTAGTTTTTCCATAGCCTTGACAACCTCCATTCCTTCAAGAACTCGTCCAAAGACAACATGCTTGTTATTCAACCAATCACATGGTACAGTTGTAATGAAAAATTGGGATCCGTTCGTGTTAGGTCCAGCATTAGCCATGGACAACAAGCCAGGCCTATCGTGTCGCAGCTTAAAATTCTCATCAGGAAATTTTTCACCATAGATACTCTTGCCTCCAGTACCATTACCTCGAGTAAAATCCCCACCTTGACACATAAAATCGGGAATAATGCGGTGAAAGATGGATCCTTTATAACCGAAGCCTTGCTCGCCCGTGCAGAGCTGGCGGAAGTTTTCGGCTGTCTTGGGCACCACGTCGTTGCGTAGCTCTATGATAATGCGACCGAGCGGCTTATCATTAGCCGCTATATCAAAGTACACTTTGGGAACATAGTCCGATGATCTTGAAGCAGCTGACGTTGAGAAATGAAACATTGAAAACGAGATCCCTGCAGTCATACCACCAGCAGCGCCGCACAGCTTCAAAAAAGGAATATTGCGTAGCAACATCTTCGCAGCTGGAGCAGTCGTCTGAAAATAAAATAAGAGGCATCTATAAGAAATTAATTTATAATTTCAGAATTGGAATATTGAATGGGGTTCTTGCTCTGAAGCATACCTTTGCATATATTTAATCAAGTCATGCCTCAAATACTCACAATGATCCAAATAATATAATTCAAGACTGAAAATTGTGGATCCCATTCTTTGAAGAGTTGCCATGCAAGCTACAAGATCGTCCATCACAAATTGATTATTTTTTTCTCGGAAAGCTGAATTTAATGCAAGCGACGTCTACATCAGACCAAAATTGTAAACATTAGACTGACATCTTAATCCTCAAGGGACCAATTCAAAGACTACCATAAACCAAAAACAACTGCTAGTTTCATTGCAGTACTTTATATAGCCGCAATGTTCAACAATAAAAAAAAAGTTTCCAACTTCATGAATTTGAACCCACCTAAAAATTATATACAACTATACCATAATTGGATTTTATGAGCTATGAGTTCATCAATAAGCAGCCGCAAGAAATTGCTTTGCAGTGAATAAACAATAATATATGTTTGAAAATTACTTTTTAAAGACAACACTTCTAAAGAATCCAATGTTTCCAATGTTACAGATGTACAATGAATTTCTAATTTTATTTTCAGATATTAAAAAAATTAATCTTTTAAATTTTTCAATATATAAAATTTTTTCAAAATTCTTTATTCTGTCAATTGATTCATGCATTGTCTCCAACTTTATGCAAGTGTGCAAAATTTCAGATCAATAGGATAAGTAGAAGTGTATTAAATTTCAATTTACAAGATTTGTAGCAGACAGACAAACAGACAAGAAGTGAAGTTAAAGAAAAGTGTTGTAAAAATAAGAATCAAATGACAAAGCCCTGCTGACAGTGGTACCACAGTTTTTGACCACATCCAATTTCATAATTGCCAGAATTGGTAATTCTGAACATGTAGTTGACAATAAACATAGGATCAGAGGGCAAGAATTATACATTTATTACCTATGCTTTCTCACAAATAAATACTACATACTTCACTGATCTCCGTTTTTTTTTTATCACTGATATAAATTGGTAGAAGGTTCTTAACTGAGCCTAGTTCAACAGCATGACTCCTAACCCTTCCTTTTGGAGCCTGTGAGTTTGACAGGCTGGTATAACCCTCCTCACTGCACGATGCAAGCAGACGCAATAATGAAGAATTCAAGAGCAGGACTACAATTTATTTCAAAACGCTCTACTTCGTAGCTGGACACATTGAAGGCTGAGGATTTTTGACCTTGCCATGGAAATAGCCAGTAAACTAAAGACATGCAAACTAGAATCAAAAACCCAAAAAACAAAACTGAATAAAATAATAAAAATCCTGCTTTACTGAACACAAGCTATCTCAGCAATTGGATAGTATATATCACGGTCTGTAAATATCAATACCTACATCAAAACAGATGCCTTGACACAAACAAGACATCATCTGAAGCCCTGAAGAATGCACACTACCTACTGAATAACCTTTCGACCAGCAAAATGGCATCATAAGTTCTAGCCAGGCACTGAGTTGGTGTTAGAGTTTATGTAAAACTGAATGAGCACCCATCTGCTTCACAGGCCATGATCTTTTTCAGTATTCATTAGTATTCAGAGCTTTTTTAGTCCCCTGTGCTAAAGAACTTTTCTTCTCTTTATTTGCTCCAAAAATCCAAAGCTAATGGGGAAATTGGTAGCATTCATGACATTTTAGTTCTCAAGGTAAAATACACTCAATATGAAGAAATGTTTTGACATGCATGCCCTTCTATACATGGCAAGTAGTTATGTAGGGACCTATTGTTTGTAGTTCTGTTTTTCTCATATCCCTATTTACATTCTCACTACTGTTTTATACCATACATGTTAGCAGATAAGTTAACATCCTTGGTAAATTTATATCTCCAAGCCTTAATGTTCCCTACATTCCTCAACTGGTATAAACACAAGATATTTCCATTGAACATCTGACAATTACCAACCATCTGTCAATCATACCAAACATAGCATCACTCCCTATGATGCTTCAGAACTGAAATACAACCATTTGAAAATGCTTGTTTGGAAATTGAAATTAATTTTTCCTACATTTTGAACACAACTTCCTCTAAAAAAGAAAGAAGAAATGTCTGCATGTATTATCAGTCACCTTAAATATTGCATCCTAATAAATTGGCTAGTTTCCTTTTATACTTGCCAATAAAATGGAATTATTGCCAACTTATATGCAGTAGAATGAAAGCCTAGCACCCTCCAGACCAGATGACAGTCTAGTTTCTTTTTTTTCTCGTTGGTTTGAAGCATTGTGGTAACAGCACCTTTATACCTGATAAACATGTAACAATTTTATATATATAGTCAAATGGGATAAGACAGGATCGCAGCCTTCATGGGGTAAGAAAGGACCAGCCNACCTGTCTCTTATACACATCTAGATGTGTATAAGAGACAGACTCTGAAGTCCTCCTCTTTCTTTGTAGATGATGTAGATGTAGAATAAATGACATTTTCTGTGACTTTTCATGTGTTTTTTCCTTTATTGATATATTAACATATCCATACATTACCATATTATTGATGTGATATTACCATATCCATGAACATGCTATTGAGCATTTACAATGACCTTGTCCATTGAAAGCTTCATTTCAGCAGCCATATAGCACTTTTCTGTATCTGTAAGCTTACAGGAAGGCTTGTAAATTTCACATCATTTTAATTTGATTAAGTGAATTCACTATAACAAAAAAAAAAAAGATTATAAAAACATACCTAAAACAGAAAGGAATACTATAGTGACAACCATCATATTTTTAGGAGGAATAAATCATAGTTTAGGTTAATTACTTTTCACTATGTTGCCCAGTGAACAATTATATCTATGACATTTTATGCACAATTTTGTGCTGATCAATGATGCATTAGTTTTTCATCTAGTAAAAATTTTTTGCTGAGCAAGGTAAACATAATCAAAAATTTTTTGTTATTAATTGATTTTTTATGAACTGGAGCTTTTGCTAATCAAGGTTCTACTGTAAATGCATTTTTAGAGGTGTCCCTTATTACCCCGTCCTACGGAAATGGCCACCATTTTTTGTGGAATGAGATAGCGTAAAAGGGGGTAACTTAGACTACTTTTTTTAAATGATGCCTTTTTTTACTAGCTAAATTAAACTTAAATCGAAACATGCAAAATACAGGTCTATACTCTAGGTTCACTCACCATAAATTGCTGGCTCCTGCCTTGCATAATTTTGATGTAATTTCAAAAAAAGTGATGGTCTTTGTTACCCCAGCTCTTAGAGTATCTTAGACTGGGTGGTAAAATCAATTATATTTTTTGGTAAAATAACTCCACGTTTTGGTGCATTGCAGTAGAACTCTTCTGGTTACATATGCAAATGACAAATTTGAGGAAAGTGTCATAGCTTGCAAATGGGGGGCACTGCCCCCAAATGGGGGAACTCAGACCACCTAATGGAAGCTGTGACGGGGTAATATTGACTGGCTTGGAAATTAAGTTAAAATTACCATATATAAGACTCTGTAGAGTCTGAAACATAAAGAAAAACATTAATAGGTGTGTCAAACATAAAATATGTTATATATGGTCATTTTAAATTAATTTCCAAGCCGGTCTATGTTATCTCGTCAGGGCTGACATTAGGTGGTCAAAGTTTCCCCATTCAGGGGCAGCGCCCCCATTTGCATACTATGACACTTTCCTCAAATTTGTCATTTGCATATGTAACTAGAAGAGTTTTACTACAAAGCACCAAAACCTGGAGTTATTTTACCAAAAACTTCTAGCGTGGGTCACATTTTTCATTTTTTAACCTATTAGATATGCATAATTTTTTATCTATCTATTGTGTTACATAGCCTCAGTATTAGGCCTTTAATGCCCATTGACAAAATTTTTCTATGTCAAATAGTTTTTGGGTTTCGGGGGTTTTTGTTAAAAAACACTAAAAGTGGTCTAAGTTACCCTGGGAGTCTAAGTTACCCTGGGAGTCTAAGTAACCCCCTTTTATGGTATGTGAATTCTTTCAAGAACGTTTTTAAGCCAACACTTGTGTGCAACTTTTATGTACCATCAACTGGGGTGACTTTGGCTGCAAGGGTGACTTTGTTAATGATTTTGTTGTGCGGCCATTTGTTTCTGTTGTAGTTGTGTTATGTTATTGGAACAAAATGGTATCCAATGTAGTTTTTCTTATCTATTGATTGGAAACTGTTTTGTTTCATTAATTTTATATCCTGCTTGACCAACACAATCTGAATGCCACAGTACTGTAAAGAAAAGAAAAAGCTGAGTGCAAACTTCAATATTTACAGATACAAAAAGAATTTTGGAATCAGATTTGTTTCACTTATTTTGGTAGGTATCTTGTTATTTGTGTATAATGATTATATCAATGGCTATATGTTTTTTACCAAATGTAATGTACATGTTTAAAAAAATTAGCAGGCCAAAAAGTCACCCCATAGTAAATGGGGTAACTTTGGCCAGCCAATAAATGTTTAGAATACTAGATTTTTTTCTTCTTTTTTTCAGACAATAGGTGCAGCTATAGACATGAATTATATTCTGTGCCATATAGGACATATTCTGAGGAGTCGCTTAAGAGAGCATTTCAGTTGATAGAAGATAGTGTTAGCCAAAGAGAAGCTGCTAACATTTGCAAAGTCCCTCGTTCTACTTTGAGCGGCCGATGCGCCGGATGTCATGTAAAAAACTTAGGACAGTCTACTCTTTCACCTACAGAGGAGTCAGATTTAGTATCCTACATTATTCTGCTATCAGACTGGGGCTTCCCATTAGATGGTATGGATCTGTGTTTTTGGTTAAAAATTACCTTGACAAACTGGGTTGCACTTTACACAAGTTCAAGGGTCACACCTCTATCAAGCATCATTGGTTTTTTGAAGAATGCTCCAGAACCCATGAGGACTAGATTTTTCAAACTTTTGTGTCCAGCTGGCCATTTAAATCAACAGAAAGCTGCCTTAATGAAGCATTTGATTCACGAATGTGAGTTTTTATCTTTGTGTTTCAATTTGTATAATACACAGTGGCATTGATTATCATTTTTTAAAATACCCAATAAGGCGGATTTCACCCAGCTAATGGTTGACTTTGGCCACAAAATCATTTTACCGTGTTTTAACAAATAAGCCGAAGTCACCCCATTGTGGGGTGACATCAGCCACCCAGCTATTTTAAAAAAAATTATTAAACTATAAAAGTGACATAAGTTAGACATGACATATTTAAAGAAGATCATTTCATTAATATATTTACAAATTTACAATCACCAGCAACACCTCATTCCTATTTTTGTAGAAATTTGATTGGCAGAAACTAGTGTAATTTGGCCAAAGTCACCCAAATTGACGGTAAGTAAAGTTTTTTGATACGGCAAATATTTTTTTGCTACAGACCTTAGCAGAGAAACGTTCCTAAAATTGCACTTTTCAAATTTTTTCAGATATTTTTTAGAGGTAGGAAATGTATAATTTCTCAACTTACTTTATGCTACCTAGATAGTAAGAATGTTGATCATAAATCTTAATTTATTGTGTTTGACTGGTAATGAACAGAATTACTAATATTTAGTCCAATTAAAATCTTAAACTTCAAGTAGTGCAACCTTCATTCTTGATTCTTTCAAATGCAATTTTAATTCCTCCTATTTTTATTCTTTCTATCTTAACTAAAATTTTGGATAAAAAAGTGGAGGTGGATCAAAAATAATATATGCACCATAATTTTTAGAATCTTGCAGCAGTGCTGCAAGATTCACACTAGAAAATTTTTTTTAAAGCATGTAATGTTGATAATTATAACTAGATAGGAGAAAATATCTCCCACGCTACAGTAACAGGTGACTTAGGGTA